CAACCCAACTCCATAATCTTGTGTTGTGTCACATGTGGAGGGGCATTGTCATGGAGAAGAAGAACACTTTTCTGATTGACGATTGAAGGACATTTCTGATGAATGGCTTGATATGAATATTCCAGTTGCTGACTATAGATCTCTGCATTGACAATTCATTGTGGATTGAGGAGTTTGAAATGAATTACTCCTTTGGTGTCCCATCAAATGCAAAGCATCACTTTCTGTGGCTGAAGTTTAGGTTTTGGGGTCGGAAGTGGTTTTTGTCTAGGACTGAGCCATTGTTTTTAATATTCGCATAAAGAATCCATTTTTAATCACCGTTGAAAATTCTGTCCAAAAATGGCTCACATGCATTATGCTCCAGAAGAAACAAAGCAACATTCACACATTGGAAACGATAATCATCGGAGAGTTTGTGAGGCTCCCAAACACTTTCTTTATGGAGTTTCCCATATTCCTTTATATGTTTACGTATTGTTTCTTGAGAGACATGCAATTTCATGTGTTGCCTTGGGTTAGACTAAACAACCATGTTCAGAATATTAATATCGGTTCAAACATCTTGGCCCCTGCCATCACAGTTTGTAAGGCTAAAGTCACCTGAACGAAATTTGCTGAACCATTTGTTGACACTTAAAAAAGCTCAAAACATTTCCATAAACTTCTTTGATATTCTTTGTGGCTACAGAGGTGTTGTTTCCCTTCTTGTATTCAAACACTATTACATGCCAATTGTGTGTCATTGTGTACCATCACTATAAGGAATTAGAGTATACTAAACTTTACACATTATATAGGCTACACTAAAGTGATGTAAGTTTTGAGGGGGGGGGGTTAATGAAAGTGTTCCAAAATGCAACATTACTTTTTTGGCTACCTAATATGTAGTTGTAAATTTTTCTCGACCAAAATGTGAAATTCAGTGAAGAAAATATGACATAGAGGCTTGCTCTATTCTTTGGTTCATTACTTTCACTTCAGCAGACTAGTTTCACTGACTTCATAGCTCATCAGTGCTTCTTGGAAGAGTGAAGCAAATAAATAAAGTAGGTCTAATTAAAATCTGGAATACTTGGGACCTGAGCCATGCCAGCTTTCGGAATTTTCTGGGTTTTGGGTTATTTGGCCTGACTTGTACAGACGATGTAAATAAAGTATGAAATACATACATACATACATACATACATACTTAAAAGTTATTATTTACTTGCCTTTTGAACATTTTCATGAAGAACAAAGGGATAAAAATTCAAGTTAACAGGGGGGGCTACACAAGCAGCACAACCGAAGGGCATGTTTGAACTGGGACCACAATGACTTGCCACGCCTTCCAAATAAAGTGGCCTTGCCAGTAATTAATCTAAAATTAAATCTAAAAGAAATTTTAACTTATTTGTGCAATAATTTTTAGTGCAGTTTTCAGTAATTTCAAGTTGGAATTGTGCATCAGTAACCAGAAAAAGTCAGAGTATAAGGAATTTCTCCAAGCTAATAGAATGTTCACCAGAATAGCAGATTTCTGGAACATTCTGGTTTTCAGGTCGCTGGACTTAGGATCGTCTACCTGTATAATGAAAACAATGTTTGGTTTTGATGTATAGTCCATTACACCCCGCTAATAACCTTAAGTACTTGGGGGTAAAAGTTTGGATAACATGTGGCATACCATCACAACTGATTGAATAATACTGGATAATGAATTGTTATGGTGTGTCATGGTATCCAAACACCTAAAGTATTTTAGGTTATTGGTGGTGAATAAAAGAATATATATCAAAACCCAACAAATTTACAGGTTTTGTTGGAGCAGATTAGTTGTGAATTCTAATGATTGGTTTGGAAATATAAGTTGGACCTGTGAGTAGATATTATTTGTTATCTGCAGTTCCTTTGTTTTAAATTTATAAGTAGGAGGTGGAAATGTAGCGTAGAGTTGTTGAGAACTTATTTTATATACTTTGTGGAAGATTGTTCTTAAACATATATTTCTTTTTAATACAGCTCACTTGTTGAAATAACAGATAGGCTCTTGTTAAGCAAGCCCAGCATAATTCTATATAATATATGGTTATGAAACTTTCAGAAGAGCAATGAAAAGGTGGGTTTGTGATAAACTTAATTTCATATCTCAATTTTTCACAAAAGTATCAAAGAAAGGTGACACCAATTCTTGTCAGATATGAAATTCATAGCTGTGTTACATATTCAACTTTCCTAGGTATTCCAAGTGTATCAAAAACACGTCTGTGTTTTATACAACAGTGGTTTGAAATTACTTTGACACTGTTTTAACCATTCTTGTTCATGATAACACAAAAATATCTGTCATGATAAGTGTCAAGCGCAACCATATACTTGTACCTTTTTTTTCATATATAACTTTAAACCAGAAGTGCAACTCTTGAGTAGCTATGTCCATCGATTATGTTAATAAATTTTGTTGTAAACTATGGAATAGCAGTTCATCAAGCATAATGCCTTAACTCATTGCAACAAAGAAGTTAGTTAGTTGAGCACGTTTCTTTAGTAAGAAGAGCAAATGATAAATTTTCACTGCTAATTAAAGAAGCCCGTCTGAATAAAAAAAAAAAAAAAAAAATTAAGCTGAACTGAACCAAAAGACTTGTTATATGAAGTATACTTGGAACTATAAAATATGAGTTTGAAGAAATGTATTACTTACCATTTTTTAATTGCACTTTTCATTTTTTCATAAGGAGATGCCTTTTTAAAATATCCTAAAAGCCTATATTTTCTATAGATCTTTGTACAGAATGAATCATAAGTATAAAAACTGTTTAAGTCAAATTTAATATTTCTTGCTAAAAGACATTCATAATCTCTCTTACTTGTGGTTTTAACTATAGTTCTTTTTAAGACTTATTTTTATAAATCAGAATCTTCCATTGCACACACTTGTAAACTAGAAATCTTTTTACTAGTAGTTCAACTCTTTTATTAATCTATTTTCAGTTAGCTTGATCAAAATAACAAACAACATTACAGGCTTTTTTAACATTTGTTCCATTCAGGATTTAGCTACCCAATCCTTTTCTTTTACATTATTATGCAGTTTCTGGAAAACAACTTTCTTAAAACTGAGGTCATGATTCTTATTAACTCTATGCCTGGTATCAATAAAATAATTATAATGCTGTTATGATTGCTGGTATTCAAGTGCACTACTACTCTACATTTAAGAAATGTACTGAAAAGCAAGGTCACAGAAGGTCTATTAGCCTAGTAAGGTTCACCCTTATTCACAAAGGAAACAGTAAAAAAAAACAATCTAATATAACACTTTCCTTTGTAGTATTTGTTATAATGAATAAAAACGATTTTTGACAATGTTAATATATTTTTCATATGTAAGTGATGTAGTCAGTTTACCTAAAATAAAAATATCCATTAATAATAAACCATGATAATTTTTGTCACTTTGGTTTTTCTTGTGCCTTTTTAATGCTGCTTAAAGTAGCTATGTCACTGGTAATATGTACTGTAAGGTTATTTTATAAATTCCTAGTGTGTCTATGTAGGTTCCAATTAACATTACAAGTTTTGTAGTAAAATTATGATAAAGAAAGGTAGGTATGGTAAATGTCACATTTTGATATGTTAGGTTTATAGAATTTGGTAGTGTATATGAGTGTGTAAATTATGTTTCATTCTTGATATTTTGACTGTCTCATACAGGAAAATCTTCTTTGACAATACAGTTTGTTGAAGGACAGTTTGTTGACTCTTATGATCCCACAATTGAAAACAGTAAGTCAGTTAGCTATTTGTATTTATGCTTGTGCCAAGTGCTCATTCATTGTGCTATAAATTGGGAAACTTCAATTCCCTTTATGTTTGACAATGCCTTAGAACTGTGTTGGTTGAGATTTCTTTTAAAGAAATGGTTTAATATATTCCTAAATAAGACAATAAAAAAAAAGAAATAATACAATGAAATTGTGATTTTTGGATGTATATAATTGCATGAAACACTAAAATAAACATTGTCAAGTGTAAATAGATATTGAATTAATAGCCCAAGTAATATGGGATATATGTCATTTTTCATTATGACCAACTAGTTTTAACATTTTTCCTAAAAAAGGCACAAAAATGTAAAAGGTATAATCAAATTATCTTTAGATGTAACATCATTGGAGATATTAGTTTTTCACCAGTTCTCAATGAAGATATATAGTATTAGTACCACATGTTTAGCTAAATAGTTAAAATTAACAAAACAAGTTGTCTTTGTAATCTGCCATTATTATAATAGCTACAATATGTTAATTATGTGGATGCTTATGATAGATATCCTACTATCTAAAGCAAGCAATAATTCAAGAACATTATTATATACTGGTGTATAGCCTGTCAAAAATGATGAGGCAAGTAGTACCAACCCCATCCCATAGTACACCCTGACTTCACATTTCATAGCTAACTGAAATGAATAAATTTTGTGAAGTCAAGCTTGACCAACAATGAGGCAGAAAGGTGCAGACAAGGCAGCCAGACATTGGTAAATTCTTTTGTGAGCCAATCTAAATTTATGATAATTCATGAAATGAATTCATGGTGTATTCGTAGAATAATTATTGGTAAAAATCAGTTAGATTAACAACTTCTAATATATAGAAAAGACAGTGCATTTTGGTAACACTACATTCCAACAGTAGCTTTTATGTCATTGCTTAGCAACAAAAGTATAACCAAATATTGTTGTTAGTCTATGTTCTGAAAGTATAAAATGAAATGTATAGAAAAAAACTGGGAATATATTTCTTGATTTCTTAACTTAGGGTCTGTTGATTAAAGAGGTTTTGTTTTTATTTAAAATGTTGGTGATATAACAGAAAAAAGCTTAATTCATAAATGATTTAAGTTGAATATTGAATCAATATTTTTACTTTCATGGTACTTTTTATGCACTTGACTCTAGGCTAGGTGATTCCACACTACATATTTACTTTAGGCTTATTATACCAACACTCACAAGGTTTCACAGCACACACCCCTCTCATGGCTCCTGTCACTAATATCATAATGGGCAGACAGTAATCAAAGTATTCTATCTGGATAAATGCATCTTGGCTTTTATGACTGTTTTGAGAAATCAAGCATGACGTGACACACGTTGGCTTTAATATAGGTTAGATTCTGTAGTAGTAACATGTTCAGATTAGAGATTTAAAGGTAATGTTTTAACTGGATACCATACATTCAACTCAAAATGAATTTATTCAGTTTATTTCAGAAAGAGAATAAAATAATTTCTTACTTTAGATGTTCTGGTCTCTTGAAAGTTGGATTTAGATGTCCAATATCTCAAAAACAAGCAGTTGGTAATAATTTTAAATACAGGCAAACCTTTACTCTTTTTAATTGACATCAATGATATAGATTAAGGAAGAGTCAATGAATAATTTAAATTTGCTGCTGATGTTAGAGCTTAGGATGTTACTGGCTGTGGGAAGGATGCTGATGCTTACCAAAGGATTTGGATTATTTGATGAGTTGGGTGAATAAATGGCAGGTGACAATTTAAATTATGAGTATAATTTTGATGGGAATAATCTTAATGGTGTTAAGGAAGAAAATGATCTTCATGTTCTGGTTTATTAGTCTCTTAAGCCATCCAAACAATGTTAACATCTCTGAAATTTTCTCTTTAAAAAAAAAGAAAATTGGGGGGGGGGGGTTCCTGACTGAGTTGTTAAAGATTTTAAAGGACATTAGTTGTGTTGATGCATCATCCATTTTTGTGTTTATAGTGAGAATAGTAAGAGTGGGGGACACAAATTTTGGCAGGGTAGGAGTCATCTTCAGCTAAGACAATGCTTTTTCTCTGTTTTTTTCTTACAGGGTGGTTAGCCTTTTGAATGGATTGCCTGCAGATGTAGTAGATGCAGTTAATTTAAGAGAGTTTAACCCTCTCACTATGGGTAGGTCAAAGTGTACATGTCACAACCTTTTACAGAGTTCCATTCAAAATTTAGTTAAGCCACTTTATTATCAATGTATGTTAGTAAATTTGACATCAAAACATAGTTAATGAATAAAATTGTAACATGAGTTTTAATTTCATAAATTTATAAGAAAAACTGACCCAAATTTAGGGGGGAAATGTCAGTGAAATTTGTAAAATGCCTTGCCAGGAACATAAACATAGAAAGAAACGAGAGGTGTTTGTAGATGGTGCTTACCTTTGGATTCATGCTCGATTAAAGCAAATCATATTCAATGGAAGCGAAGAAATGATGCTGAAAGAAGAGAATGAAAAGGACAAGTGCCCTGAGAGGACAAAATGAAATTAGATTAGAAGAAAGCAAGGTGAATGATATTGATTCTGGAGAAGATGGAAGTACTGAAGCCTCTAAAACCTTTACTGCTATATTCAGTGCCTTGGGTATTACCAATCACACAGCTTTGGAATGTTTACCTATAAGTGAATATAAAGCTAATGCATTCAAAGTGTCAGACAAAGACAGAGGTCTGTTCAAATATGCACACAAATAACTGATAAGTTATTCCAACTTTTGTATCCGACTGATCCATTTGAATTGAAGACATATTTTATCGACAAAATACAGTATAATGAGAAATATACAATGAAACCCATTTCCAAAAGCTTGTGTAAGCTATCACTTGTTGGGTGCAGAAACATTTCTGTGGTGCTCAAAGCATTTTGGCAAACTCACTCGAACGACGTACATGCAAAAGGATGCTCATCGACGAATTCAATAGCCTACAAGACCAACAAAAACAGTTTATACCCATTCAAAAGCAGTCGATGGGAAAAGCTAAGTTTTCATCCTTGAGAAAGATATTTGCTACTCTGGAGTGTGGAACAGATCTGCCTAAACACAATTATATTTTCCATGTGGACAGCCAGAGGATTGCAACAGCAAATTGCATTCATTCAACGAAGACTTCTAGTAAAACTTTGTCAAACAAGTAATATAAGGATTGACAACCACATATTTTCAGATATGCTGGTTTATGAACGTGGCAAACAGAGTATCAAAGACCTTCACAATTCATATATAAGAACTCCTTTGATAGCCGTGGACAGGTTGGGGTGCATACATTTCGTGATATCGTTAAGCTGCTAACAAAAAGAGGCGAAACAAAAGCTGTTTTGTCAACCTACTAAATTTGATTAAGATATGTCAGTTCAGTATTCGAGTCCATGATGGCAAGATTAAGCAACATGAAGTATCCTGAAGAAATTGTGGCAAATGATATTCAAGCAAGCATCGAGAAAATCTTGCAGAGATAGAAAGAAATAATGTTATTTCTAACATTTGAGTACACACACAAGTGTATTGTCTGACGATCAGACCTATTGCTGTACGTTTTCACTAGGTGGATGATGTGATCATGTTCACAACCATAGCAAATGCATCAAATTTTTCGACACTTTGGTTAGGCCAATCTTGGTGCAGACTGCCTCGTTACTAGTGAATGATCTTGATACAACAAAGGAAGTAGAATCAATGTTAGCATCCATCCCAATTCTACAAAATACAACATTATGGTACATGGCCCCTAGGCTTAGAGCAAAAGTTCAGTTTGATGCAATCAACAAATTTAAAGAAGAAATGAAGATTGATTCACCAATGATTCTTATTGTGCTTGACCATAAGCAGAAGGTGTTACCTATGAAGTACAGGGAAGATCAAGTGGAGTACTGTGGTAAAAAGAGTGTCAATGCTTGGTTCAATGAGAGTCAGATGTGTGTGTGTGGCGATGAAGGTGTTCCTGGATTTCAGTATGAATTCATCGATTATGTGGTTGAAGGATACATAGGATAAGATAATGTACAAGTTGCAGCTGTACTGAAAGAGATGCTACAGGATGTTTGAACAAATTGTCTCTATATCCGTAAAGTGATTCTTCAAAGTGACAGTGCTATATGCTTTGCCTCACAGGATCTGATCCCACATATATATACCATCTCAATGTTGGAATGCAGTCTTCCACTGATAGGCACATTCTCAATGTCAAGAAGTGGATTTATACATAGGCTCAAACTGGTAAAGGGAGACTGGATACCCACTTTTCATGTTTGAACTTGACGTTCAACTCATTGGTGGAAGACAGAAATGACATAACTACGGAAATGGACATATACAAGGCCTTAACATTTAGAGATGGGATCGCCTGCACTACCAGAAAAGTACTTGATGCCAATCTGTTGAATGGTACAATGTTAGTGAAAAAAAGTTCAAAGCCGAAGCACTCGTGAGGTTCAATGGGAGGTTAATGCTGCTAAAATTATTTGCTCGTCCATTCAAGCTTAATGCGTGTGGAACAAATGAACTGAATATTGAAACAAGGTTGTCATTTACATCCCCCAGGGCACCATTATTTACACCTGATTGACATGCAAGTTCAGAGTTGAATGAACAAAATCAAGTCAGGATTACTGCTAAATCACTAGCTATTAGCCAAGCACTGTCTCTGGTCCACTGTAATCATCCTGAAGCGGATATAAGCAATGTAGGAGGTGAAACTACTACACTTTGTCCAGAAGCACTGTCAGAAGGGTGGGCATGCTATCCAGGGAATATGAAAGATTAAATGCCCAGGGAGTGTGTGGAAAAGTTAATTGAAATATACGAAATGTGGGGGGGGGGGAACAAAACTCAGAAAGTCTCCGCCAATAAAGCTCATCAAATTCTGATGAATTTGGTCCTAGGAAATTGGTGAGATAGATTTTGTTTTACTGTTTCCAAGATAAAAGCATTCTTTTCTTTAACTCC